CTCGCTACACCAGTGGACAATGATGACTCCATTGATGTTGTCAACACTTATGTCGCTGCCCTGGCTGTGTTCCCTATCAATGGCAGCGTCAGCATCACCAACAAGCAAGCAGAAGAAACGGGTAATCCTGACCTTCTCAAGGATTCTGTACTGATGAATTCAGGGTTCAAATTTTGCCAAGTGAAGTTATTGTTGCAAGATGATTATACTCATAAACCTTAGTCTGACTGCCACATTATTGACACTGGCTTTACTCAAAATGAGAACGACTTTGAACTAGTGTGCAAAACACTTTCCAGATGCTTCCCTAGTATTTCAGATTTTGCCTGGGTTGATAGAGTTTCATTCCCATTACCTAAGTCTGTTGTCAGGTTAGAAAATCACATTGAGAAGTTGCAGAAGTATTTCGTTTTCCTGGTAGCACTGAAGCCATGGCCTTCATGTGAGCTACTCATGTTGAGTGTGACATTGGCAAGTGTTGTATCTGACACCGATCACAAGCTTGTGCTGCTTCAACGAAAAATTGGAGAAAGAGCAGTCAATATGCAATTTCATGGACCATTGCATGAGGTACAGGTATACTGGTCATTACCATTTTCCTCTAGCTATCATTCGATGGATACTTGGTTTTTCTAGTATGGTAGCTGCAGCAGGCTGACGTCCGAAGGTACTAAATATCTTGGTCCTGCATATTTTCTCTGCATAGTGGTATGGTTGTTTGTGAAATCATCTAATGCTCGTAAATATTTTGGAGGAAGATGGATTCTTATGAACATGTCTGGTATTCTTTCCTTCTTCCTGCCACCACCAAAACCACCTGACACTTATGGAAATTTTGGTGCTCTTATGGCTCCTCACAGTAGGCTGGGTGTTATAATTCTTGGAGTTGTTGTAGTATGGTTACACTTGAAAATGGATAAGATCTTTGAATACTATTCAGCAGCGAGGACCACAAATCTGGGGTCTCAGTTGATGCATAAGTTGCCTGTAGAGTTAATGCGACTTGAACCTTGGCCCTCATGGCAACGGTATTTATCAATCTTTACTGTGATGGTCTGTCCTTGCTGTGATATCTCAGTCTGGACTCTTCATGATGTCCAGTTAATCAGAACAAATACTTATATGTTTTCCTCGGATTCAAGGGCTCTTATGGTGCAGTCATCTAGTTCAGAAACATTTCAATGGAAGATTGCTTGGTCATTTTGCTATGAGTGTTCTCTGTTCGACAATATATCAATGTGGTTCATATGCGAGCGCTCGGTGGCTGTGAATTGGCACACATTCTTTCAAGGGCATGTTGAGTTCTCTGGCAACATATATCTACAAATAATGGTTCCGTGCTCTTCTCTTGAGATGAAATTTTTGCTTTGCACCGCTGGAGAGTCTCCAACCTCCAGTTCTCAAGTATCACAGTGGATTGTTGCTCGGTATTTCTCTGTATCTGCTGTTTTGGAGGACACTGCATGTTCAGATTTTGGAGAAGTTAACACTTCTATGGACCTGTTGCTCTTTTGTGGGGTCGAGCTGCTTGTCTATAATTCTAAAATTTCCCAATGGATAATAGCTTGGTTTCTCAAGTTGGGGCACTCTGCTGGTGCTTTCACGTTGAGGTCAATGGCTCTTGCAAAGGGGAAGTTCACAAGTAGAGGAAAATTATACTGGAGTCTTGGTATTTTCTTGGGCTTAAGACATTGCAGAGGGCTGGAGCAGTGAGCACTGGGCACTGGAGTCTGAATTGGACGTGAGTCAAATACCAGTTTCAGAGATTAGAACGAGTGGAGCACTAAACATCAGAATGGATATTGCGTGCCAGAAATATTTTCTTGATGGGAGGATTGCTATCTTGTCCATGATCAAATATATGTGGGTGGAGGGTGACAACTGTACATGTCTGTTTAGTCCAGAGCAGTTCTATACCAGCCTTCATGGAGTTATGTCGTTCGTATGGGACTTGGGTGACTCCACCGTGGTTACAGCCTGTGATTTTGCTCCTTATAGGCCTGCCAGACGTATTCGGGCCAAACTTGTTATGCTGGAAGTGGTGCAGTTGACTTGGGATCCAGGCGACTCTGAAATTGTGCTTGACTCTACCTTGATCTCGAAGAATCTTGCTGTCATGCCTGCTACTGGTCATGGTGCCAAAGATGATACTGTGAAGGGCGGCATGCCAGTGATATGGGATCCTGGAGGGCTCCCACATTGTCGTCTTGAGGACAAGCCGAAATTTAAGGGGGAGGGATTGTCAGCGACTCTTCCTAATCTATGGACGACGGGCCGTCACTCTTGGGCCGGGCCTGCTTGGAAGGACATGGGACAACAAGTACAAATATGTGGACAAGGCATCGTGGAGAGGGGCTTGGACGGAAGGCTTCGGCCTGGCTGGCGATCTCCCTCTTTGTAGCGTGTTCTTCCTCCTCTGTCTCCTCCCTTCCTCTGCTCCCTCCTCCTGTAATTCTCGATTTGTAGCCAAACCATGGTGATTGAGTGAAACTAGTAACTGGATCCTAACAGAGGAGACGAGCATAGTGGCCGGAACAAGCCAGAGCACGCCTGCAGCCATGACGCCACCGTGATCACCACGCCCACTTGCGCAAGAGGCGCTCTTTGGCATGGCCAACCATGTCCAGTGGATGGACCTTGGTGCCCTTAGTCCAAGAGAAGAAATAAATCAGCCAGGGGCAAAGAAGAGATTAGCACTTAGCTCCAAAAGTAAATCACTAAGAAGGTGTTTGTGACTTCCTGTGGTTAAACTAGCTTGGTAACATGGTAAAGAGTTTGTTTGGCGATGATCACTCACTAAGGTGATGCTGATCACCAAAAGCTAGACCAAGAGGAGGGGTTTAGATGGGGGTTGCTGTAGAAAGTACAAATCTGGCCAGAATTAGGGATTTCGATGATACACTCACATACTTGATTTCTGTCAGCTGAAATTTGGCATAGAGGGGTTATATGATGATATGAAGCTTCTGTAAAAGTTTCATGCCATTTGGAAATACCAAAGTGGCACTTGCTTCACAAAGCTTCATTCTAGATAGAAACTTGGAAAAATTGCACAGGGAAATTGGATTACCTAATTGAGCTAAAACATGGTGGAGGGAGTTGATATAGGTAGAATCATGTCCTGGTAAATTGTCAGCTCAATTGAATCAATATAAAATATAGTTGCTTCACAAACTGAAAATCTGACAAGAAACTAAGATTTGGGCCTAGGCTCACATAGATGAGTTACGTGAGCTCATATTTGGTGGAGAGTCATGATTTGATCATGTGAAGGATCTTGCAAAATTTCAACTCATTTGGATATGTCTAGCTTGTACTTCCTTCACAATCACTTCTCTTATACAAGAACTTTGAAAAATGGCTCAGTAATATTTACTAGGCAAATTGAGTTGCATTTTGGCATGGGCCAATGATATGGACAGGAAAATCTGTCCAAGAACTTTGGGGTCAGTCAAGCAAATATAAATAGCACTTCCTTTGCAAAGTGCCATTTAGGACAGAATAGGAAAAGAATTATTGGAGGATTATTTTTGAACATGGCAATGAAATATTTTGCCATATTTAAGCAAGATAGTACCAAAAAAATTTATGAGAATTATTTCGGAATTTTAGGAGCGACAGAAATATAGGTTGCTTCACAACCTAGGGTTTTAAGGGTTATTCCTTTATCAGAAAAGGAATATTCCAATAAAAGAGTTTTAGGTTAGGTCAAGGATGGAAATGACATGATCTTGGGATGATGAAGAGAGTGTCAAGCCACTATAAAACCTAGAAAGACATGATCTTCCCAAGTTGCAGACCAACATAGCCACGGAAAAGCAAAACAAAACCGGAAATCCAAGAAAATCAAAGGAAAAAGAAAAGGGCAAAAATCCAGGCTATTACAAACTGCACCTGCAACTAGCAATGCTATAAGAGGTGCTGAGCAAAGCGGTAACATAGCCAAACAACGGTTTGCTAGGAAGGGTAAAAAGGTTAGAGACTATCATGGCAATTTGGAAGGCTTGAAGAACAAGTGCTAGGTAGCGCGACATAACGACAGCATTGAGACAACTAGCATAGCAAAGGTAGTAGTGTGATACAAGGTGAAAGTCATCTTGCCTGAAATCCCGCTAGGAAGAAGATCGAATCTAAGAAGTAGACGACCCAACGTAGTCGAATGGATCTTCACACAAGAAGAAGCGCAACTGGAACTATCAAGGAGAAGCGCAACCGGAAAGAAGCAAACATCATGGTAAACACACAAGCATAAACATGGCATGATGCACAAACAAGTAGATGCATGTCTGGTTTGAATAGCATCGCATGGCATGGAAAAGTGCAACAAACAATACTACAAATTAAGTGAAGCTCAATATGCAACAAGTTGCATATTGATGAAACACCACATCCAATTATTTAGTTCACTCTTGTTTATGCTCCTTAACAATATTTAATGTTGTTAAACATGGCAAGAGGTGAAGCATAATAAAACTACCTATGTAGGCAAGTTTAAATGAGGCTAGAACAATAAACGACAATTCCGGTAAATCCCCATGTCATTTAGAAATTTAATGGAAACAACAATTAGAAACATTTTAAATGTTGTTATCATGATGCAGATGACATATACAAGTTTTACGCAACTTTATAAAAAAGTTAACATGAACATGTTATGTAGCATTTTCACCATGGCGGAACGAAAGGGGTGCCACGACAATGACAATGGAAATGGTGCCACGTCAACATTCCAATGATCCGACAACTCATTGAGATACCGGTGCAAAAGAGCAAGTGTGGATGTACGGAACATGCAATAGATGGTGGGATGATCCTGGTTATCGAGTTCCCACAGGTCGACGGCACGACAAACGAGGAGGAACATGCAATGACAATTCGGGCACGGTGCCAACACGAGCATGTCATACGACACACATGCATTCGTCCAAGGGTGTCATCTTGGTGGTTATACCTTTGAAGCGTGCTTATAGGACGACTCAGGTACAAAGAGTCGTAGTTGTTCACGGATCATCGTGGCAAATAGTCATTCGCATTTCGTTAATGTTTGGGGTCACAGCGAAGAACTTGATGCCCACGGAGTCTTCGAAGGCCGACGGTAGTGGTACACACGTTTTCTTGTCGAACTCACAGCGGTGGTGGTTGTTCACTCGACGGCCTTTGGCGACGGTAGTCGTATATGGTTCGTAGACGTTCGAGTCATCGGTGGAGGTACTTGTCGCCTCATCAAGCATAGTCGACCTTGGCGTATCCAAAGGGTACTTGGTGCTTGCGGCCCAAATCTGATGTCATAGCCACGTAGTCGAACTTGACGAAACCGGGTCTTGCCAGGGACATGTCGCATTCATCAGGGACTTGGTGGCACTTGATTCGAGCAGGGCAGCGCTGGGGATGACGAGATGCCGTTGAGCAGGGGAAGTCAATGCGAGGCTACAACATGAACAGGATGGCGGCACGGACAGGCAGAAGGCACTCGGGTTAGAGATGCTCTTGATCCAGAGCATGGTTGCGGGAGGTCGGGGACAGGACTGGACACCGACGTGGATCCCGAGGACGTTGTCAGACCTGGAGGATGAGGCGACCGGTGGCGAACCTTAGGGCGGCGGCGCCATTGAGGTTCGTGCATGGTGAGGAAGCCAGGGCCATGGGGGTCGGGGACGACCCGATCTATACGGCATCGGTGGCTGGCGATGCAGAGGACACGGCCTGGCGCTCGAAGGGGGCAGAGCCGGCGGCGGATCCGACCGGGAACAGGCGCCGGCGGCGGGAGCCTCTTGGGCAGCCACGACGAGGTCCCTGGCAGGGTGAGGCGACAGAGCGGAGCAGCAGCTCAGACGACCAGATGGCGCAGCGGCGGAGGGAGGCGATGGCGATGCGGGGGGAGAAGGAAGGGCGTGGTGGATGCGCACATGAGGGGAAGGGGATGATCGAGGAGAGAGGCTCCTCTGGCGGCGCGAGGGAGGAGAGGGAGACGAGAAGGAGAGACCGAGAGGATGGGGGTCGGGGCTAGGTTTAGGAAGGGCTTAGGGCTTTGGGAGGCCGGTCTAGTGGAGAGGGAGGCTGTTGGGCTCTCCAATCCCTCTCTCATATTTTTTCCAAAACAAAAAAGTAAGAAAGTAAAGATAGAAAGGAAAAGGTTAGAGAAGAAACTTTGGCATGCAGATAATTTTTCTGGACTCGCAATAATGAGCTTGATCCATGAGAAATAGAAAGTTGGCACAAATGCAAGATTTAAATTCAAAATCATTTGAATTTAATTCAAATGGTTTGAACAAGGACAAGGATTTCGAAGTGTCCAAAAATGTTGAGAATTTAGGAAGAGGCTCCATAAATGGAGAAAGAATAATTCACAAGGTTTGGAGGTGAAACTTGAAGCAGAAGCGGCATGGAATTAAAATGCAAATGTGTTATGGTTAATTCCAAATTAATAGAATATTTTATTATAGCTCCCTAAAATATTGGGAGGATATGTTACAAAGACAAATCATCATGTGAATTCCCTCGATTTAAATAGATCAACTATCTATGTAATTTATTTAATTGAGTTTTAAAAAGGGGTTGCAAGATGAAATGATGCAATGCAAATGATGCAAAAATGAATGCAACTAACAAAACAAATCACACGACGAATCTCGGAATCCATGGAAGGCATCTGGAGCGCCAGTCTTGGGGCGTCACAACTCTCCTGCACTTACAAGATATCTCGACCCTAGATCTAAGGATGGCACCGGGGAGAAACGAAAGAGGAAGAGGTAAAACATAGTTGCTTCTTTGACAAACAAGTGAAACCAATGAACCTTGAGAGGTTGAAAAGTTGAAAGAAAGAACACAATAGAGTTGAACACAATTGAGAGCACTCCAGTAGAAAAGAGAAACAAGGAACACCATGTGAACCTTGGAGGTTGCAAAGCTATGAATGATGAGCACAATGGACAAGAAGGAATTGAAACCACTCTGGTTGAAAAGAGATAAACAAGGAACAAGGAAGAACAAATTCGAACAGCACTCCAGTTGAAAAGAGAGGCAAGAAATATAGCATGAACTTGACAAGATGGAATGATACTTGATGAGAGCAACAACACAATGCCGCCGGAAGAAAGAATAGAAGCTAGATGGCTCGAAGAAAAAACCGAGAAGAAAACAATTTCTTCCACCTCAAATGAATTAGAAAGAGCATCCTTAGGAGAAAGGCTTGAATGGAGTTGTTGAAAAATCGACAACAAAAGAAAAAGCTTGTTGTGGGCTTATGGTAAACATCTCAAAACTTGAGGTGAAATTCTACCACTAACAAAAACAATTGATTGCTTGAGAGCAATGAAGAGGTGAAAACTTGTTCCACCAAATTGATGAAGAGATAACTTGGATCATTGATAAGCAACACAATAGCAACATTCCCAATGGAAGGCTTTAGATGAAATATAACCCAAGATAACTCCCATGAAGAAACGATGGGTTTAAATATCTCATTCTTAATAACTTGTGAATCATAAAACATGAAGGAAAAAATTGTCAAGAATGATATAAGACCACCAGAAAAGACAACGAAGAAGAATTGCACTTCGGAATGCAAGAAGAAGAATACTTGAGCTCTTCCAACAAGAATCTTGACGAACACTTGAAGAATGAATTCAATACTTAACGAACCACCGTGAAGGACTCCGGTAACAAAAGAAAGATGAGATAGAATTTACGGATGAAAAGAATAAGATTAAAACTTTGCGATGGTTTAGATGGAGCTTTGCGATGAGACAAGCGAGAAAACTTGGATCTTCAGAAAAGAAAAATGAACAACTTAGAACCGAGATATTACTCATCATGAACAATCTTCGAAGGAAGGAATTACTTCACCACGATGAAGTAGAATAAGAATTATGTTACGCGTATCCTTCATCAATTTAAATTGATGACAAGCAATGGATTTGATATACTACTTATTCTCATTGAAAAGGATTGAAGAGAGATATAGAGCAAATTTCAGAAAGTCTTCAACGAGTTACCGGTATGATTTGGAAGAACAAATTAATTAATACGGTAACAAGGGAAGATGGATCTCGAATGAACCACTGTAGAATTGAAAATGAACGAAGCAACGGGAACGAATCACCGAGAAGAATTAGAAAATGAACAAAGATACTTGAGGGAACTTAGCTATAAGAGAATGAAGAGATCATGAGCTGACTAGAGAGTACTTGAACGATGCACCGATAAAATTTGGAGAACGAGAGCTGAGAGCTGAGAATGAATAATTCTGAGATGATGGGCTCCGGAGAATCAAACTGAAAAGAATCCTGAATTGCGTCAGATGGGTGAAAAGAATTCTCACAATCGAAAACAATTTGAGAGGATGGCATGAAGCTTGAACTACAATTCTTTGAGAGAACGGACCAAAATTTGAGAGAAACTCTTCTTCAGTCTTCAAAATCTGAGAATGACGACGAGATACGCCACGGAATCCATTCTTACATCACACTTGGAAAAGAATTTGAGAATAGCTCCAGAAAAATTAGAAGAGTTAGGTTAGATCATGGGAAAAGACCTGTGGGTTAGGGCCCACTCAAAAGAAACACCGTTGAATGATTGCTTGAAAGGGGGATTGCACCGGTTGAATTAAATGGCTTGAATGAGATAACAACCTCAAAATAACTTGAACGGATTGAGAATGGAAACGCGAATCTTTTGGGATATCTTCGGCACTTTGTATATGAATAGAGAGAGGTGAGCGATTAAGAGGTGCACCAGCTTGGGAAATCATTGGACAAATGAAAGGAATATTCTCAACACCGAATCTTGAATTAACTCCACCGGGGAAGAAAATGAGAAAGATTAATGATGAACTTGTAAAGCATCTTCATGAGAACCACCGGGTAAGAATATTGATTGAAAAGAATGAAGAGGCTTCACATCCATAAGATGGATACTTGATTAAGAAATCTTAGTCTTTGAAGAAAAAGGATGGGAGGGCGGGAAAACAAATGTAACTTGGGGACGAATGAAATAGACAATCCTCAGGCCTCTCAATGGTGCGTGTATGGAATGATCTCGAAGAGAAGTGAACCAGTTGAAAAGGATTGACATGACAATCTCGATGATCAAGAAGGATTAGTATTCACATAAAAGTATGAGAACACCGCTTAGAAAAGGTATGAAATCAACACTTGACTCCGAAGCAACTCGAATACCTCAAATCAAAACAAAACAAAGGATTGGCTTGTGGAATAAGCCGAAAACAAACATATGATAGAGATTTGATCGTACAACACCATCATGTACAAGGCAGTGCACATGGCATACGAAGTGTCCCCGAGTCAGCATAGCCAAGGACTCTTTAAGACACAACATACCACTATAAAACCAACCTGGACAGGCGGACCACTAGACGTCAAACCCCAATCTCACATCACGAATCTGTCAGCAAGATATCCTAGGTAACTACTTGAATTCCCACGTATGAACTCCCGAAGTTCTCTGGTTATGCAATTTGGTGTTGGGGATACAGGGAGGCACAAATATATCACACAACTAACAAGCCCTACGCTCCAACTGTATCCATCCGTCAACACATAACCAAGAAACCTTCAGAAATTGTGTACCTCAGACCTTCGAAATAATCCGATATACTAGCTGTGGCAATACATCTGATCGCTCTCCCCAGTACTGGGTGTTGTCAAACTACTCTCACCACAAAGAGTATAGAAGCGTTTTCAATGTCGGCGAACTCTGCTATTCCGGAACTGAAACGATAAACACTGTGACGAAAACACCTTGGAGCTCAACTCCCCGGTACACTGCCATAACCCCTAAATGTCAGGATGCACCAAGACAGAATCGCCATCACAATGATATCGCAACGATCGAACAATACACACGTGATCGTAAAAAAAATTGAGTGAAAAAGAGGAGAGTGAAGTCAAAACATCTACGTCAGGAGTCCTCATCAGAACGACGAAGGGGATAAGGAGTAAAATGAATTCCTACTCTCCGATATATAACTAGACTCAAAATAGTTTTTTTCTTCTAGACTCAACAACATCAGCGGTTCGATCAATCAAGGTGGCTCCTAAGGTCGCTAAGGCTCTAATACCAACTTGAGGCGCCCAAGATGTGATTCTATCCCAATCACGTGACGAATTCATGATTGGGGCACAACCACATTTTGAGCGCATAGCAAGGTGGATATCATTACAACATACCATGTACTGAATAGATGAGAATATAAGATAAAGGCTTACACTCACCACAAGTTACAACATTCACACAACAATACATCAATACATAGCAACCATCATATAGAAGAGCAGGATCCGACTACGGATGAAATCAAACGAAAAAGAAGAACGGCATCCACCGTGCTAATCCAAGGCTCCCTGACACGGAACCGAAATCCCTTGATCGAAGAAGAATCAGTAGAGGAACTCCAAACAAGCAAGCATCGCACTAGCGTCAGATCATCGCATTACCTGTACGTGCAACTATTGTTGTAGTAATTTGTGAGCCACGAGGACTCAGCAATCCCATTACCATGGGTATCAAGACTAGCAAAGCTTAATGGGTATGGAAAGGATAAGTGGTGAGGTTGCAGCAGCGACTAGGCAATGTACGGTGGGTAACTTACGAGTACAAGAGTAAGATGAGAAACTAAGCAAACG